ATCTACACAAATCTCTGTACCATTTTGTTTCCACAAATCTACACAAATCTCTGTACCATTTTGTTTCCACAAATCTACACAAATCTCTGTACCATTTTGTTTCCACAAATCTACACAAATCTCTGTACCATTTTGTTTCCACAAATCTACATCAATCTCTGTACCATCTTGTTTCCACAAATCTACATCAATCTCTGTACCATTTTGTTTCCACAAATCTACATCAATCTCTGTACCATTTTGTTTCCACAAATCGACACAAATCTCTGTACCATTTTGTTTCCACAAATCTACACAAATCTCTGTACCATTTTGTTTCCACAAATCTACACAAATCTCTGTACCATTTTGTTTCCACAAATCTACATCAATCTCTGTACCATTTTGTTTCCACAAATCTACATCAATCTCTGTACCATTTTGTTTCCACAAATCTACATCAATCTCTGTACCATTTTGTTTCCACAAATCTACACAAATCTCTGTACCATTTTGTTTCCACAAATCTACACAAATCTCTGTACCATTTTGTTTCCACAAATCTACACAAATCTCTGTACCATTTTGTTTCCACAAATCTACATCAATCTCTGTACCATTGTGTTTCCACAAATCTACATCAATCTCTGTACCATTTTGTTTCCACAAATCTACATCAATCTCTGTACCATTTTGTTTCCACAAATCTACATCAATCTCTGTACTGTTTTTTGTTTCCACAAATAATCTACATCAATCTCTGTACCATTTTGTTTCCACAAATCTACATCAATCTCTGTACCATTTTGTTTCCACAAATAATATACATCAATCTCTGTACCATTTTGTTTCCACAAATAATCTACATCAATCTCTGTACCATTTTGTTTCCACAAATCTACATCAATCTCTGAACCATTTTGTTTCCACAAATAATCTATATCAATCTCTACTATTTTTTTCCCCCCACAAATCTACATCAATCTCTGTACCATTTTCTTTCCACAAATCTACATCAATCTCTGTACCATTTTGTTTCCACAAATCTACATCAATCTCTGTACCATTTTGTTTCCACAAATAATCTACATCAATCTCTGTACTGTTTTTTGTTTCCACAAATAATCTACATCAATCTCTGTACCATTTTGTTTCCACAAATAATCTACATCAATCTCTGTACTGTTTTTTGTTTCCACAAATAATCTACATCAATCTCTGTACCATTTTGTTTCCACAAATCTACATCAATCTCTGTACTGTTTTTTGTTTCCACAAATAATCTACATCAATCTCTGTACCATTTTGTTTCCACAAATCTACATCAATCTGTACCATTTTGTTTCCACAAATCTACATCAATCTCTGTACCATTTTGTTTCCACAAATCTACATCAATCTGTGTACTATTCATGTCCCGCGTGCGTACTGGCATCTTTTTATCATAGCATAGGCAGGCCTCATCGTGTTCTACCCATCTGTAATTTACCATAGAGGATGTCCTCAGCGACTCTACCATCTTCCATTCTCCAAGTGTGATCTAGCCACCAGAGCCTTGAAACAACTTTGTGATACCTATTCTTTCCAAGACCTCAGTGTTTGTGATCTTCTTGCCTTGCCAGTTAATGCCACATTTTCTTTGTAGGTGTCACATGTAATAGCTATTTGGCCGTTTCTTCTGGTGCGAATAAGTTGACCAGGTTTCGCTGCCAAAATTTTTTTGTTCTCAGCTCCCCAGTTAATAAATTGACAGCTTAATGTCTGTAGTAAGATTGTTGAGCATTGCTGTAATGCTCTTGGGAGATGTGACACAGTACACCTTAATGTTATTGAAAAATGTGATATTGGGAGATAAAAGCCACTTTAAACCTGTCTGTTTAGTTGTTAATAGATCAGTTTTTGAAGCTTGCCATTGCTTTCATTATAAATATGTGAAGTGGATCAACAACTTTAACATGTGTCAGCAGAGGAGAAATAAGCCCCGAATCAAATCTTAAGTGTCAACACAGCGGCTCTCTGCAGTGGCAGAACAAGCACAGATAATGAGATAAAAGCTTGATGTTGCTGAGAGGTGTCAGTCACTGTCTGCACACACATCCATTCTAAAGATCAGTGGTTGAGCAGTGATGAATTAAACTATGAAAACAAAAGAAACAGATATTTTTGATTTATGTGAGAGAGGAACTTTAATTCGCTTGTCAGTATGAACAAGCAGTTTACATGGAATCAGTGAAGAAATGTGTTTGTTGTGTGAGACAGTAAATTGCTAGATTGTGGCAGTTGGTTAAGGATTTCTACTCCAATAGAGTATGAAGAGCAGAGGAAGAAATGAACTGATTACCTTCAGCATATTTTTTTTTTGTTAACTTTGGCCGAGAGTCCATACACCATCTCTGTATTGTTGCTCTCTTTGTTTCATTTGTCTCAGATTTTATTGTTTCCTAATTCCTGGAGAAATTCTCAATCCTTTGTTGATCTTACTATTAATCACAATCTGCTGGAGAAATTCTCAATCCTTTGTTGGTCTCACTCATAGCACAATTTTCTGAAGACATTTGCAATCTTTGACCTTGCCCCTTTATGGCCCAGGATATTGCCTGTTTAAGGCTGGGTCAGAGAGTCCAAAACAGTTTTTTAAAAAAACCCCGCCTCAGTTCGGATTTGAACACCAGACCATTAGGCTATTAGGCAGGCTTCTAAGATATTGGAAACTGTATGACAATCTTTAGAATTTGGGGAAAAAATCTGTGGATAAACATCACTGCAAATAAGAGCTCTTATGTATTGACAAGGATAAGGTTTGGCCCTGGTCCACAAACAGACGCTGTGAGGTCTTGATCCATAAAGATGCTGTGAGGTCTTGATCCATAAAGATGCTGTGAGGTCTTGATCCATAAAGATGCTGTGAGGTCTTGATCCATAAAGATGCTGTGAGGTCTTGATCCATAAAGATGCTGTGAGGTCTTGATCCATAAAGATGCTGCGAGGTCTTGATCCATAAAGATGCTGTGAGGTCTTGATCCATAAAGATGCTGTGAGGTCTTGATCCATAAAGATGCTGTGAGGTCTTGATCCAAAAAGATCCTGTGAGGTCTTGATCCATAAAGATGCTGTGAGGTCTTGATCCATAAAGATGCTGGTGGTCTTGACCGTGGTAAGACTGGGGCGGATCCACAAACAGATGCTCTGAGGTCCTGACAGGGGTAAGACTGGGGCTGATCCACAAACAGATGCTCTGAGGTCCTGACAGGGGTAAGACTGGGGCTGATCCACAAACAGATGCTCTGAGGTCCTGACAGGGGTAAAACGTGGTCTGCTATAGCTACATTAGTGACCATTGTTTTCATTTTTAAAAAAATGTATTATTAAAAAGTTGAAATTGAAGTCCGATTTTATGGTAAAACCCTTATAAACTGACAGATGTTGTTTAGTAATGCATTGCATTTGTGTTGTATCACAGTTTTATTTCTAGAAAGTGCTTAGCAGAATTGGAGTTGACTGTGGCTCTAATGCTTCATGTAAATGTTGCATATAAATGTGTATGGTATTGAGCATTTGTTGCATAAAGCACTGTGTATTGCTAACAGTTTATGTCTAGGAGCATTTGTTGCATAAAGCACTGTGTATTGCTAACAGTTTATGTCTAGATCATTTTTTTTTTGTATGTTGGTTTTGTGGCTTTGTCTGTGCTTTTAGGTTATTTTGGTTGAGTTGCAATCTGTCTCTGCTTGCATTATTTGCTTTGTAAGCAGGTCTTCATTGTTGTCACTCTTCATTTGGAGAAGATTATTTACTTCCTAGGCAAGCCATTTGCCTTTTATTTGTTTCAACTGTCATTATATTCATTGTAGAAATCCTAACTTACCTGGCTGGTAGAAGTCTATATTACAAAGGTAGTTAATCAACAATTAAGTAAGTAAATTGAATATTATAACAGTGCTCATCAGGTTAACAGCACTGAGCAAGCACAATGTGTTTGTCATCTTACTGTTGGCTCCCAAATCCGGTTATGTTATACATCCTTGTATAAAAAAAAAAAAAGTTGGAGCAGGAAAGAAAAATAATTCAAAGGAGATAGTTAACTATTAACCGCTTGTTTATACATTTACTGACTTTTCATCTTACAAGGGCTATGGTTACTCTACAACAAAATGTCAACCACGTCACCTGCTGAATGCTGACTCACCGGGTCACTGGTATAAGCAGGATCCTTTACTTTCAACAAATAATAATAGTAATATCAATAATTTAAAAAAACTGTTTTTTAATGAATTAGTTAAGCTCCCTGTGTGGGATCCGCAGCCCTGTTATAAGGAAAACAAGAACAGACCCATGGCCTACACAAAATCGTGTCTTAAGGGTCGACTAATTGGGAGCTTCCTTCAAAGTCATGGTGCATCTGCCTGAGAAGCAAGGAGCTAGGTTTGCCTTGACATGAATCGGATCTGTAAAATGGATGTGCACACAACACTGGAACATGACTATAGTCCAGAAGTGGAGGAACAACCAGAATTTTATGCTGGAGTTTACAGCTTGTGAATGCAAAGAAGAATTAGTTCAGTGAAATGTCCCACCAAAAATGTTCTGTATTTTGTTTTGCAGTAAAATGTAAAACCAAATATAGGTGGCGTTTAATATCAATCCCTGTAAGACTCAAAACACCAGATCTGTGAATGAAACAATTTTCTAAGGGGTAGCGACTGGTTTAAACTGCACAATTATTTATGCCAGCATCTGCACAAAATGCCTCCTCCCTTTTCCCCATTTCAATAGTTCTAACCACCAAAGCGAAAGCTGTATCTCTGATCTAAGTTAACTGTTATAAAATCTTGCTGCAGTGATCAAACCAGCCATTACTGCCTAGAAAGTTGTTTAGTCTACACAATGAACACTTAGCTAGCATACACTTGCAAACAAGCCAAGTTTCTTCTTGTAAGTTATCCACATTGTGGCATGTCTTACAGTTCCTTCATTAGTGATGTTTTTCAATGATGTCTCTCTTTTGTGAACTTTCTACGCAGGTCAGCCAGGACTTCAATTTACTTTCCCTCAACCGCAGCAAGATGGTAAGAACTGGACAATATTTGGGGGATGATTTTAATTTTTTCTAGGACTGTTTTATCTTTGCTTCAGATGTTTTATTTTGTAGTTTTCAATAGTTGTGCCAGCCAGATTTACTCATTTGATACAGCTACTGCTTTACTTTCTTGTAGGATTTTATTTACATACTATTCAATTCATTGAAAAGAAAAAGAAAAAAAGTTGTTCAGAATTAAAATCAATTCTATAGATGGGTAAGTTAAGATTCTTATGTCTTGCAGATACAAATGGAATTGTGCAAAACCAGTCAGATGCCTGCTTATGAAATAGGTTAGCGGTACCTAATGAGCCAAGAGGTGCCAAATAGCACACTTTTTGTAAAATAGAGAAACTATGAGAACTTCTATTTTAATAACATAAGAATTAAAAAAAGCCAAGGACTGTACTATAAAGTTGAGTGTTTTTTCCTTGTAACTAACCCCTAAAACTGAGCCACATGCAGACACATGTGTAAAACCTGGCTAGTTTGTTGAAATGTTGGATGTAAACGTGGGAGTTGAGCTGGTGCCAGAAACATGATCAACACAAAATAGGACTAGGAATCTCTGAAAGGAAAGTCACCCCCAGATGTGAGCCAGCAGTGAACTCTTTTGATACCAGAGGACAGTTAAATATAAATCAGCTAAGGATGCATTCCATCTTACTCAAAGCATTAATCAATGAAGTAAACATGAATACCTAATCACAGAAACATGGAACACAGTCCAACAGAAACAGCAACACAGTCCAACAGAAGCAATCCACATACTTAGCCACAGAAACATGAACACAGTCCAACAGAAGCAATCCACATACTTAGCCACAGAATCATGAACACAGTCCAACAGAAGAAATCCACAAACTTAGCCACAGAAACATGAACACGGTCCAACAGAAGCAATCCACATACTTAGCCACAGAACCATGAACACAGTCCAACAGAAGCAATCCACATACTTAGCCACAGAATCATGAACACAGTCCAACAGAAGAAATCCACATACTTAGCAACAGAAACATGAACACAGTCCAACAGAAGCAGTCCACATACTTAGCTACAGAAACATGAACACAGTCCAACAGAAGTAATCCACATACTTAGCCACAGAAACATGAACACAGTCCAATAGAAGCAGTCCACATACTTAGCTACAGAAACATGGACACAGTCCAACAGAAGTAATCCACATACTTAGCTACAGAAACATGGACACAGTCCAACAGAAGTAATCCACATACTTAGCTACAGAAACATGGACACAGTCCAACAGAAGTAATCCACATACTTACCACAGAAACACGGAACACAGTCCAACAGAAACAGCAACACAGTCCAACAGAAGCAATCCACATACTTAGCCACAGAAACATGAACACAGTCCAACAGAAGCAGTCCACATACTTAGCTACAGAAACATGGTCACAGTCCAACAGAAGTAATCCACATACTTAGCCACAGAAACATGAACACAGTCCAACAGAAGCAGTCCACATACTTAGCGACAGAAACATGGACACAGTCCAACAGAAGCAGTCCACATACTTAGCTACAGAAACATGGACACAGTCCAACAGAAGTAATCCACATACTTAGCTACAGAAACATGGACACAGTCCAACAGAAGTAATCCACATATTTAGCCACAGAAACATGAACACAGTCCAACAGAAGCAGTCCACATACTTAGCGACAGAAACATGGAACACAGTCCAACAGAAGCAGTCCACACTTGGCTACAGAAACATGAACACAGTCCAACAGAAGTAATCCACATATTTAGCCACAGATAAACAAGAATCATCATGACTATTTTTAACAGGACACCCAGTGACAAATTGTGAGATCTGTTGCAGCTAACCTTTATCCTGGAGAACCTGACCTGCCTTGGGATAATCACCCGAACTTAGGAGTTTGTGCACTGAATTAAAAAGCTCATGTTATCTAAATTATGAGATGGGAGCAGTGATTGATTAGTTGAACAATCCCTCAAAAGACCCAAGTTTTCACTCAGTCAAATACATGTTCAAAGCAGTCTGAAACTTTCAGCAGACTGAGTTTGTGGTCTGTTAGGTTGTAGCCAGAACACAGTTCAACTGCAGCATTTTTGGACTGGCTGAGATTTAGACTTTGTGTTTCAAGTACAAATCTCATGAACATAAATTCCAAAAGACTGCAACATTTGTGTTTAAAAACCATTCTAGATTCTAGCTGAGCAAGGACCAGTACACTGAATATTCTATATAGACCTCTGCTAACACCAACATCATATTCATGTTAGCTCAATGTTCGTCTGCGCCTGTTCATGTTCATGAGTTTTACTGTGTTTCAAAACCAACAGACTTCCGGTTAATGGTCAGATGGAAGTAGCTAAATGGCTGGTTTTTGTTGTAGTAACAAAGCTCCTTGAAATCAGTCTGAAAAATCTGTTATTTGTTGATGAAGGTTTCTGTGCCAGGTGTAACTCGATAATGTTTAGTTTGCCGGGATAGTTTTATTTGAGGTTTCGGGGGAAATGGCAGCCAGTTGCTAGCTGCCTGCTTACTGTCCTACAGGTGCAGGGTTAAAATCTGCAGTTTGTTAAAGGCAACTCATTATATATTTTTCCTCCGAAGTCAGAGTGCATCTGCCTGAGCAGCAAGGAACTAAGACTGCATATAAATGAGCCAGATCTGTTGAACAGATGTGCACGCAAGATTCATGTTGAGGAACAAGACTTCAAGTCCAGAAGTGGATGAACATTTAGAACTTTCTGGCAAAGACTACAGCTGGTGAGAGCTATGAGTAAGAAGAATGACCTTGACTTGCATGTTGACCTGACCTCAAAAAGAAACACACAAATGTTCTGAGAAGAAAGAGTAGCCAGCTGGCTGTTGGGCACTGTACCATTTGAGGTTCATACCTGATGCATCAATGGCAGGAAAGGGGACCTTCACTCTTACACCACTCAGGAAATTGAGATTGGTTGGATCATGAGTTCTGCAAGTTCTCTTGCACCATGAAAGCAGCTCTTAAGGATGCGTTCTTTGAGACAGCTTAGCCCAGACGAATTTACAGTCCCCTGGGAGGCCTCCTTCAGATTTCTGCCTCAGTTACATCCTCAGTTAAACCTGTTTTCTATATTGTGTTCAGAGTTTCTTTTTATTTTCTTGCAGCCGTAATTTTGTTTTGTGAAATTTGATTTTGTGTGTGTGCATTTTATTGTTTTTTTTTTGTATGATGTTTTTGTTGTGTATTCTGTTGAATTTTTATTGTGGTTTTGCTGTAGATTTGTTTCTTGTGGTGTTGTACAGTGAGTAGTTGTTTATAGAAAGGTAGGGGGGGGGGGGTGGACTGCATTTTTGAGGCACTAATCACATAAATTCTAGTGCATGAGATTGTTTGTTGACTTCTCTTGTGTGGCACCAACCACTGTTATTTAGATTTAGGGGAAGTGTTGTTACACACACACACACACACACCTTAGGAGAGTGTGAAGTGGCATCTTTAGCTACACACTGTAAGCACAGAACAGAACATTCCAGCTGCATTTTGGACTGGTGTGCAGAGGTACTCCCCCATTCCAATGTATGCTCACATAAGTGCGTAATTACTCACTCACATGGCCAGGAATACAATCAAACACAGACTGAGCTAGAAGTAGACAATACAAAAGCAGTTGTAGAAGAATAGACTTAAAATTAAACAAGTTTAAAGCTAGAAAGTTTTTGAAAGCCCAAACTGTACCCTAAAAAACGGAAGAAATTACCATCAAATTTCAAACATTGGCTTAAAAAAAAATTTAACAAAAAATATATTGGGGCCTTTTCCGCGCCTCTCAGGGATATTGGGTATATTAGGCTAGACCTATATTTTGTAGACTAAACGGCACTTGGTGGGAGATGTGGCCAGCATCATGCCGGCTGCCTTTACTTCCCAGGACTGTACCTGCTACCTACTCAAGACTGGGTTAACTTGGGAGCAAAGATGAATTTGGAAATAAGTATGGACCTGTTAGGACCCGAACTCATGACCTTCCGATCCGCAGGGGAGCCTCTAGCCACTAGACCACACCAGTAGCTTCAAATGAGCCCACAAAAATAGCCTTGGAAGTTCATACATATACAAATTAGCCTCAAAATGTATCTTGGAATTGAAACGGCATAAAATTAAGCTCTAAAAATGGCCGTCAAGCAAGCATAAATCATATTGAAATAATAGCGTGAAAATGTATACTTGGCTAGTCCATGTGTATTTCATTTCATTGTTTCAGTGTATTTATACTCTACTGAATTTTCATTGTCTTTTATGGAAGGGGAAAAGGGACAAATTACAGATCATTCAAATTGAATGTTGAATGTGTAAGCATTGTTTGTCTTAGATAGGCACCTGTAGTCCAGCCGCTTTGAGTACACTTCTCTCAAATAGCTTAGAAATTGTTTGGCTCCACTCTTGTGGCTAAGCCAACTATGCTCTCTGCCTTACATTGAAGTGCATGAGCACTGAAACTTCTTTGTTTAGGGATGAACCAGTTGGTTAAAAAAAAACACTCACAAATCTGGCTTTCACTCTGATGAAGCTACAGAAGACATGTCGATCCATGGATACAGTTGTTGGAGGGCAGGGCAGCAGTAGGAAGGTAGGTGTGTTGTACCCTACCAGGACATCACACAAGGTATGAATATTCGGGGGGGGGAAATTTGCGCAGTCGATAGGAGGCTTGCTTTCAAATCTAGCTGCAACTCATTGCAACCCACGGCCGGTGTTCGAAACCGAGTTGTTCCTGGGGTTCACCTAGCCTCTAGGAAATGGGTACCAGAGTTAACACTCTGGGGTAAATGGAGGAACGTCTCTGTAGCTATGGAGTTACGTGCGAACGGCGACAGTTTCTTATTAGCTGTCCTTACTGGTGGCAGAGCACTTATGGTGTATAACCGTGTGCAATGACGCTGGTTCACACCTCCTGCCTTTACCTTTACCTTTTACAAGCGACAAACACCCGGCGACACAAAGTGCCACCATGCGGATGTGGATCACCAGTGGAGAGATCCTAGGAACCCTGTTTAGCCATTAGGCCACATGAAAAGCCCAGCTTTATTTAGAGCCCCGGGCAACAGCCAGTGTTTTGGCTTCAAAATAACTTACAATTTCATACCACATGAGGATGACACATAACAACTAGGCAAAGTAGTCAGCAGCAGTCATTTATACTTAGCCATATTCTCCCTTGATCTCTCGATTGGTTTCTCTTTGACCCAGCTTTGTGTTCAAGGCCGTTACAGGAATGTGGTGTGCAGTATTGGTCATGTTTCGCTGGCTCGTTCATCACTAGCTGTCAACTGATGTTCCTTAGCTCGTGTGTCACTGTTGCTTATTACTGTCCTTTGACTATGTTCAACCCAACAGAATTGTGACCCTTTGGCTTTGGTTGTCTTCTTCTACTCTTTATCCCATAGTGAAGCATAGGCCCTCATCTCATATAATTTCATTTAATCTTTTCTCATCAGCTTTCCTTTTCATGTTATTTATTTCTTTGCCTCTACAAATTAACAGGTGACCCATCTAATGCCAGCATCTTTTCCTCACCTCTTGAATTGGTAAATTTGTTATTCCATTTTGGTGCTCTTTCTCTTGTCCAGACACCAGCGGATGAATGTTTGTTGTCTGCTAGCCCTGCACATATCTTTTGATCTGCATGATGTAAAAAACCATGCCATTAGTGTCATATCTGGGGTGTCATAGGGGTGGAATAAAAGGTACTCTGCTAGAATGAGGTAGACACTTGGGAAAGCCAGATCACTCATCAGCAGATATAACTGTAGCAACATGTAAGTCTCTAATTGAATGCTTTTTGCAGTATATTTTGTTTCTTCTTTGCAGTGCCACCACCACCCGTCACTACCCCCATAGCACCCCCAGAGCAGACACTGCCCCCCTTTGGGCAGCCAGCTGCCGAGACTTTAGTCCCTGCAGTACCCCAGGTAGATTTTGTCTCCCCACCACGACCCAACACAGGAACTGAGGGACGCACCATCTCTCTCAGAGCCAATCACTTTCAAGTCCGAGTACCTAAAGGCATCATCCATCATTATGAAGTGAACATCTCACCTGATAAATGTCCTCGCAGGGTCAACAGGTAGACACTGTTCTCTTTGTTTACCATTTTAAATAGCTGCTGTTGAAAAAAAAAAAGGGATTTGTTCAAATGCCAGGGGATCAGTATGCTATGTCATTTTGAGACATAATGGTGATGGTAAGCATGCTGGGACCTCATGCAAGTACATGAATATTAATACTAAACGAGCACTATGCAAAACAAATATTGTTACCAACACATGCTAGCAGTGTCAAACAGTGACAGTCATCCGAAGAAAATAGTCCTGAAATAAATTAAATGTTTACATATGCTGTAAGAAGGAAAAGATCACCTTGGGAATGATGAAATCAGGAGGAGAGTCAGCACAGAACCAATCCTGAACTTTATCTGTATACGACAGATCAGATGGTTTGGCCAGGTAACAGACAGGTCATCTCAGAGAGCAGTGTTGTACAGATACAGCGGAAACAAATTCAGAGGTAGACCACACAGAAGATGGACTATAGAAATGTCAGAGACACTGAGAAGTACTATATATAAAGTGAACAGAAGGGATTTCTTCCTATCCTGATGGAGTAGAGGAACAGAAGGGATTTCTTCCTATCCTGATGGAGTAGAGGAACAGAAGGGATTTCTTCCTATCCTGATGGAGTAGAGGAAAAGAAGAAGATACATTCTCTCAACTGATAATACATAGTATGACCTTTGACACTGACAGCAGTATGAATATTCTGGCAGTAGCACTGTCTAAACACTAATGATTTCCCTGTCTAAACACTACTGATTTCTCTGTCTAAACACTACTGATTTCCCTGTCTAAACACTACTGATTTCCCTGTCTAAACACCACTGATTTCTCTGTCTAAACACTACTGATTTCTCTGTCTAAACACTACTGATTTCTCTGTCTAAACACTACTGATTTCCCCGTCTAAACACTACAGATTTCCCTGTCTAAACACTACTGATTTCCCTGTCTAAACACTACTGATTTCTCTGTCTAAACACTACTGATTTCTCTGTCTAAACACTACAGATTTCCCTGTCTAAACACTACTGATTTCTCTGTCTAAACACTACTGATTTCTCTGTCTAAACACTACTGATTTCTCTGTCTAAACACTACTGATTTCTCTGTCTAAACACTACTGATTTCTCTGTCTAAACACTACTGATTTCTCTGTCTAAACACTACTGATTTCTCTGTCTAAACACTACTGATTTCCCCGTCTAAACACCACTGATTTCCCTGTCTAAACACTACTGATTTCTCTGTCTAAACACTACTGATTTCTCTGTCTAAACACTACTGATTTCCCTGTCTAAACACCACTGATTTCTCTGTCTAAACACTACTGATTTCTCTGTCTAAACACTACTGATTTCTCTGTCTAAACACTACTGATTTCTCTGTCTAAACACTACTGATTTCTCTGTCTAAACACTACTGATTTCCCCGTCTAAACACCACTGATTTCTCTGTCTAAACACTACTGATTTCTCTGTCTAAACACTACTGATTCCTCTGTCTAAACACTACTGATTTCTCTGTCTAAACACCACTGATTTCTCTGTTTAAACACTACTGATTTCTCTTTAATTTGTTGCAGAGAAATTATAGACACAATGGTGGCTGCCTACCAGCAGAAGATCTTCCAGGGTCAGAAGCCAGTGTTTGATGGAAGGAAGAATCTCTACAGCCGGGAAGCTCTGCCCATTGGCTTAGAGAAGGTAACAGCAACGTCCTTGTACTGTCTGTCAACAAATCTTTCTGGCTGTGTTATTTTTGCCTATCATGTCTCATGCTGGCCAGTTTAGACCCCAGCTATTCACCAGGTGGCCTGCAGGTCAAATCTGTTCTGTGGAGGCCTAGCAGGTGGCCCACGGATCATTGCAGAAAATTACCTAATACACCCTAAAAAGAGAAACAAATATTTTGAGGTAAAGGTCTCTAAGCGAAACTCTTGAGACAGACATTGCTTAGAGGGGCCAAAGGTGCTGGACTAGTTTCCATCCATGATGTCCAAGGAGGACACAGGATATAACAAAATTGAAGATTAGACTGCAGCCCTGTATGATGTATAACAGCACAACAGTGTCGGGATGATAATATAGTTCTGTAGCACTATTTTTGTCAACCACAGTTGCTGCTGTTAGTGTATTCTGTGTAGCAAAAGGCTACTTTTTGTTTGAAAATTCTAGATCTAATTTCTGCCAGACATCTTTTATAGAAATTGACAATTTTAGATCTAATTTCTGCCAGACATCTTCTATAGAAATTGACAATTCTAGATCTAATTTCTGCCAGACATCTTCTTTAGAAATGGACAATTCTAGATCTAATTTCTGCCAGACATCTTCTATCAGAAATTGACAATTCTAGATCTAATTTCTGCCAGACATCTTCTATAGAAATTGACAATTCTAGATCTAATTTCTGCCTGACATCTTCTATAGAAATTGACAATTCTAGATCTAATTCATCTTCTATAGAAATTGACAATTCTAGATCTAATTTCTGCCAGACATCTTCTAAAGAAATGGACAATTCTAGATCTAATTTCTGCCAGACATCTTCTATCAGACTAGATCTAATTTCTGCCAGACATCTTCTATCAGAAATTGACAATTCTAGATCTAATTTCTGCCAGACATCTTCTATAGAAATTGACAATTCTAGATCTAATTTCTGCCAGTCATCTTCTATCAGAAATTGACAATTCTAGATCTAATTTCTGCCAGACATCTTCTATAGAAATTGACAATTCTAGATCTAATTTCTGCCAGACATCTTCTATAGAAATTGACAATTCTAGATCTAATTTCTGCCAGACATCTTCTACAGAAATTGACAATTCTAGATCTAATTTCTGCTAGACATCTTCTATAGAAATTGACAATTCTAGGTCTAATTTCTGCCAGTCATCTTCTATCAGAAATTGACAATTCTAGATCTAATTTCGACCAGACATCTTCTATAGAAATTGACAATTCTAGATCTAATTTCTGCCAGACATCTTCTATCAGAAATTAATCTGCCAAAATAGTTTGTACAATTTAAAAAAAAATTTTTACTTAAATGTAAAATGTGTGTTTTTCTTTGTTCTTTGAGAAAACCACCATTTGTGTTTTCGTACAGTTAGTTGCGTATCCCTTACAGGATGTTGCTGAACCAACTATATTTTTTGGCATTTGTGGCTTTTCTAGACAAATTGTACATTCAGTAGTTTGCCATAGAACGATGGTTAGCTCTGGGTATCAGTGTTGATACCAATGCATGACAGCATTCACCAGCGGAGTCTGTTGCATTGAATATATCAGCATTATCCATGCTTCTTGCTATTTCTGTTGGTCTCGCTTGTCGGCTGGACCACAATTCATTACTCTACACTTCATTGAGAGCTGGGTTAACCCTACGACACTCTTGACATGTCCTGAAGTACTCAGATAACCTCCTCGGCATATAGATCAGATCCTGGGCGGCATATAGATCAGATCCCGGGGTTATCAGTGTGAGTCTGAGACTGGTTGATAAAACCAACCTCTCATGTGTCTGGTGTGACTCCAGTTGTTCTTACTGTGGTATGTTCTGGTCCTGCCACTAGACAAATGAGATCATTGGCAGCATGTGAATGCTCTGTGCTCATTCAGAACAAGGACTGGCAGCTGGGATTGTCTGCAGCTTGTTTAAAGTTTCATTCACAGTTACTGCTGTGTTGTTGTGATTGAATGAAGTTTTCATACTGTTGAAGCGGTAAGTGGTATTTTATTTACAGGTGGAGTTGGAAGTGACCTTGCCAGGTGAAGGCCGTGACCGTGTCTTCAAGGTTGCAATCAGATTTGTCGGCCAGGTTAGCCTGTTTGCTCTTGAGGAAGCTCTGGAAGGCCGCACACGCCAGATCCCCATGGACGCCATCCAGGCTCTGGATGTAGTGATGAGACACCTGCCCAGCAAAAAGTGAGCCTCAGTTGTCTTTCATTAAGCATTCTTTCATTCTCATCTGTCAGTCTCCATTTGCTTCATGTTGTTGTCTATTATTGCTAGAAAAAGTTAGTTGTGCCTCCTTTACATGGCATTACAGAACCTACCCCATCATTTTGTTGGCTCTTGTGGTTTTTTTTAACGTTCATCAGTTTGCTGAATGATAATTTAAGTATAGCTGTAAGAACCAGTGCAAAGTGGTCTGCTGACAGATCGCATGCAGCTGGGATCTAACATAGCACCCCGACATTATGAAGCATGTTGCTAACACCTGAGCCACAGATGATATTATTGTAAATAATCTCAAGGACACATTTTATTTCTGTGGCACAAGGGGCATATGATGCCAGACTTCAGTTATATTCAGCAATGGCACTCGGTCGGTGGTGGGTGATGTCATTAGCGTCTTTACTTTTCAGGACATAACCTGCTAACCATTTCAGGCTGGCAGATCTGGGAGCCAGTCTTATTTGTTGTGATGGGGGTCGAACCATGATCAGCAAGCCAGCATTTTTTGTTTGTTACTGGTTTTTAAATAAAAAACTGGCATGTTGGCTTTGTGTATTGCCTTCTTGGTAATAGCTGTAATTACAGTACTTTTTTTGTACTCATCCTCACAAGGACAGTTTTCACAAATGATTATACCTGTTGCTCAGATTTTTGTCAAAATTGTGACTGTTTGTCAGCTGTATAGTTTATATGCATATTGTCAGTGTTCCACATGCATACAACAATTTAGATGTATGCATGATGTTGGCATGCTGGCTTCCACTGCAGTTTCAGCTCTCAACTTGTTTCATTGATAACTTTTTAGAAGCCAGTGTCATTTTTTTTGTCCATCACTTTTTATTTCATCTGTTTTCTAGCTATAGTTAGTTGATTGTCTGTACGTCTGAAGGTGACTTGTAAGCCCAGTGAAGGTCCGGGAAGATATAGGAAACAGTGTCTGTATGTAAGAGTCTGTTATACAGGCCTTTACAACCTACCTGCGCTGTTCAGCTGTCTCTTGTCTAGAAGCCTCGCAAATCGCCACCCTTCTTCGGATAGACATTTACCACATTGTCTGGTCTGTTGTCTGGCAGACCTCCCAAGTGTCAGGTTTTATGTTGAGGGCTTTAAGTAATACTTTTAGCGTGTCTTTGAAGAGGTTTTTCAGGCCGCCATGAGAGCATCCACCTTGCTGTATCTCACTAAACAAGATTATTTTTGTGGAACCGAAGATCTGGTAAGCAAAAGACGAGACCTGCCCATAGAATCTGTGACTACCTCAGATTAATATGGATGCTGGGAATGCCAGCTCTATACAGTATGACAGTATCTGGGACCCTGTCTTGCCACTTGATGTTCAGTATGTTTCTGAGACAGACTGTATGGAAGTGGTTGAGTTTCTTTGTATACAGTGCATGTTTCACAAGCATACAGCACTGGAAGCCCTGCTGCTGCTCTGTATATACCTTCAGTTTAGTTTGCAGACTGATGCCAGACATTGGTGTATAGAGATGTGATCTCACGGTCAGTGGTGACACTTTGAGACAGTGTAAGACTGAGGTATGTGAATCCACTGTATACGTTGCACATACACAAAACAGTCAGTGTGTGTATAGCGCTCAAATAATTTTTCTTACTTTAGTGCTGCATGTTTTGATTTGATATGTAGAAGTATAGTTTTACATGTTTTAGTGAGTACATAAGTACGGTTGAAGATGATTAGTGACATGTTTGCTTTTTCATTTGCAGTTACACACCTGTTGGGCGGTCATTTTTCTCACCTCCAGAGGGCTATGATCATCCACTAGGAGGAGGTAGAGAGGTCTGGTTTGGTTTTCATCAGTCTGTGCGGCCTTCACATTGGAAAATGATGTTGAACATTGATGGTAATTATCTGCTTCCCTCAAGTTGACTCACAATGGCAAATTAGTTGATGACTGGCAAAGGCAGTCAGTGAGATTTACTTCAGAACACCACATTTTTCCTCTACTTCAGCAGTCTGTTGCAGTCAGTGAGACCCATTCCTTGAGTGGATTTTGAGTCCAATTGGGGGGGGGGGGGGGGGGGTAAGCCTGCTGCCTTCTTAACAAGGATGTTGTAAAAAACCTTCAATTCTAAAGTGAGAGTGCATCCTACTGAGAAAATGAAGATCCAACAGTCTGCATACAAATAGACAATACCTGTAAAACTGATGTGTGTGCAAAACTCAATTTCTGGAACAAGATTAAAATTAGGAGGTGAACAGAACTTTTCACCATAGTTTACAGCCAGTGGACGTTAGGAAGACTAAAGTTAAGGTCTGAGCTTACAATGCTCTGTTCTGAGTCGGAAAATCTTGTCCCTGTATTTTCTATGGACCTGGTTTATGCTATAATGCTCGGGTCTGTAATTTTCATTTTTTCTTTCCAGTTCATCTTTCTCAGGTGGTGTTAGGCTGTTGCTTTTCTTCTTGAAAACTCTAGGCCATATAGACTGTCTGTAGTTTCCTTTAGTTTATCCTTTGCACACTCATCTGTTTGTTCGTTTCCAGGGATACTGCATTAGCTTAATGATTGAATCATGCAGTATTTGTGACTTGCCAGCATGTAATGGTTGGATGTAATTATAATGTTGGTCAGTATGAGATTATAAGAGTTGTGTTTTATATGTGAAGTGTTGCCGGTATGTGTTGCCTGAGGGTTGTATGTGATTATTATGCCCATCAGTATTTGTTGAATCAGCATGTAATGCAATACGGGATGTTTTGTGATGATGTCCCCAGTATCTGCCACTGCCTTCTACAAAGAGCAACCTGTCATAGAGTTTATGTGTGAGGTGCTCGACTTGCCTGACATTGGAGAGCAGAAGCGACCCCTGGCTGACTCTCAGAGGGTGAAGTTTACAAAAGAAATCAAAGGTCAGCACCATCTTGTTTTCATTATTGACTTAATTATGAGTAACAGTCAGCAGTGTTCTTTGTTCAAACCTTTAAAAACTTAGTTTCTTTAATTTGTCACAACATTTGTGAATGTTGATTTGTATTTGTATGTATTCCAGCTGGTCTGTACGTTACATTTTGTATGTACTTAGGCATGTGTGTCACAGCTCAGATGCTGACACAACTATGAAAACAATAAATGTTATGGAAATATTAGGAGGTTACTAAGTTAAGAATCAATTTAGCACTCAGGACTTTCCTAGAGATGCTACATTCACATCTTCAGCAGCAGGTGCGGAGTTCAGATTCCCATCGCAGCAGTAACAAGCAGCATTCTGTATTTTCCATTTCGCCCCCTTTCCCTGAGTGTTGAGCATCGGCGTGCAGGTCACTCCTTGCTACATGTTCTCCTGACAATGACTTGTTTGTGACTCTGCACTGTTCACTTGATCCCAAAGAACCCTTACAACATCCATCTTTATTCACCACAGTGGGTTTTGAGACAGTCAGTCTATCTGCCTGTTAATTTCCCAGCACACCAGCTTACCAGGGAAGGAACTGGTCACTTTATCTCATTATGTCATGACTTAACCCTCTTGCCCTGTAAAAATTTAAAGTATCTTATTTTTTTTTTTTTTTAATAAATCCTTTTCAAAAGTTTCTTAAAAAGAAACATATTGTTGTTATTCTGTTAAACTTTGCCCAAGTAACTACAGAGGAAGAAAAGCAGAAGAAATGTGGAGTCTTGCTCGGTATTGATAAAGATTTGGGCAGTTGAAACTTGTGCCCTAGCAGACAGACAAGCCTTCCAGCTTTTGCACTCTCACTGCACCCATGACTCAACAAGATTGTTCATCATTAGAGCCGATATTTTCTGCAAAGATGATTTTTTTCCCCTTTCAGTGAATACAAACATATTCAAGAGATGCACATTTTTACAATAGTATTGATGTCTAGTATCACACCTTATACTGTGATCTTTTGGGTAGACAGATCGAACACCAAACTTTTTCATATAAATGTGAAATACACAAATCACACAAACCTCACAGTTAACACAAGATGGTATTGTCATGAGAACCTCACAGTTGACACAGGATGGTATTGTCATGAGAACCTCACAGTTGACACAAGATGGTATTGTCATGAGAACCTGACAATTGACACAGGATGGTATTGTCATGAGAACCTCACAGTTGACACAGGATGGTATTGTCATGAGAACCTCACAGTTGACACAGGATGGTATTGTCATGAGAACCTCACAGTTGACACAAGATGGTATTGTCATGAGAACCTGACAGTTGACACAGGATGGTATTGTCATGAGAACCTGACAGTTGACACCGGATGGTATTGTCATGAGAACCTCACAGTTGACACAAGATGTTATTGTCATGAGAACCTCACAGTTGACACAGGATGGTATTGTCATGAGAACCTCACACTTGACACAGGATGGTATTGTCATGAGAACCTGACAGTTGACACTGGATGGTATTGTCATGAGAACCTCACAGTTGACACAGGATGGTATTGTCATGAGAACCTGACAGTTGACACAGGATGGTATTGTCATGAGAACCTCACAGTTGACACAAGATGGTATTGTCATGAGAACCTGACAGTTGACACAGGATGGTATTGTCATGAGAACCTGACAGTTGACACAGGATGGTATTGTCATAGAACCTCACAGTTGACACAGGATGGTATTGTCATGAGAACCTCACACTTGACACAGGATGGTATTGTCATGAGAACCTCACAGTTGACACAAGATGGTATTGTCATGAGAACCTGACAGTTGACACAGGATGGTATTGTCATGAGAACCTGACAGTTGACACAGGATGGTATTGTCATAGAACCTCACAGTTGACACAGGATGGTATTGTCATGAGAACCTCACAGTTGACACAAGATGGTATTGTCATGAGAACCTCACAGTTGACACAAGATGGTATTGTCATGAGAACCCCATAGTTGACACACTGGTAGTGCCTGCCGTGGCATGACTAACATTTGGTATGATGACACACCTCAGTAGAGTACACACCTCAGTAGAGTACACACCTCAGTAGAGTACACACCTCAGTAGAGTACACACCTCAGTAGATAACTTCTGTACATCATATGGAGGAGATTGATCACAGTAATATACACTGGGGGTCGGCACCTGCGGTGGTGAAAGAAAATGCCCTAAAACAGCTACATGACACAAGCATATCAGGATAGGCTGCAGACTTGAAGAGAGGCTCTGAGAATAGGAATCAGTAAAAAGACAAGAGTAGATGTTGTCAGCACTGGTCTTTGTATTTATTAACCTAACAAATTATTGAAGCACCTCTGAACTCTAGGGCAGATCAGGAAAGATTGCAAAATAATTTTCTGCTTGTTCTGTTCTTTTAGATGTCTTTTACACACTCAAACACCCACAAACACACAGAGGACGACTAAAAACTAACACGAATAGACTTTTTTCAATGTATTTTTTTGTGTGGCAATGGAGAGATTTGAATCGTGTGAGACATAGTTCGGAGCATTTAATCTTTTATGATTCAGAAATATTCTTACACTACCATGGATCACGACAAAGAAAGATACTATTTTACAAGATCATTTGGGGGAAAATCCTGACGAACACAGCATCTTGTCTCCTACACTGAAACACTTTGATCATATTAGGGTTTAGAGAAAAAAAGTCGTAGAAGGCATGTTCTTTGGAAGTACAGGCCATCTGGATGATGGACAGAGGACATAGATACCCTCGGTTTGAACGGGTCAAGGTTTTAAAGCCTCTCTGGCTAACTGGGATGTTAATGACATGCTGCAGTGGAAGTTATGTGAGTAGGGTATGATGGTGACAAATAATTCAGCAATGGAGGTTATGTGAGTAGGGTATGATAGTGACAAATAATTCAGCAATGGAGTTTATGTGAGTAGGGTATGATGGTGACAGATAATTCAGCAATGGAAGTTATGTGAGTAGGGTATGATGGTGACAAATAATTCAGCAATGGAAGTTATGTGAGTAGGGTATGATGGTGACAAATAATTCAGCAATGGAAGTTATGTGAGTAGAGTATGATGGTGACAAATAATTCAGCAATGGAAGTTATGTGAGTAGGGTATGATGGTGACAAATAATTCAGCAATGGAAGTTATGTGAGTAGAGTATGATGGTGACAAATAATTCAGCAATGGAGTTTATGTGAGTAGAGTATGATGGTGACAGATAATTCAGCAATGGAAGTTATGTGAGTAGTGTATGATGGTAACAAATAATTCAGCAATGGAAGTTAAGTGAGTAGGGTATGATGGTGACATAATTCAGCAATGGAAGTTATGTGAGTAGGGTATGATGGTAACAAATAATTCAGCAATTGAAGTTATGTGAGTAGGGTATGATGGTGACAGATAATTCAGCAATGGAAGTTATGTGAGTAGGGTATGATAGTGACAAATAATTCAGCAATGGAAGTTATGTGAGTAGGGTATGATAGTGACAAATAATTCAGCAATGGAAGTTATGTGAGTAGGGTATGATGGTGACAGATAATTCAGCAATGGAACTTATGTGAGTAGGGTATGATGGTGACAAATAATTCAGCAATGGAGTTAATGTGAGTAGGGTATGATGGTAACAAATAATTCAGCAATGGAAGTTATGTGAGTAGGGAATGATGGTGACAAATAATTCAGAAATGGAAGTTATGTGAGTAGGGTATGATGATGACAAATAATTCAGCAATGGAAGTTAATTGAGTAGTGTATGATGATGACAATTTAGCAATGGAAGTTTTTTGAGTAGGGTAAGATGGTGATAGATAATTCTGAATTGGAAGTTATGTGAGTAGGGTATGATGGTGACAGATAATTCAGCAATGAATATTTCATGAGTGAGTGACATACAGTAATTGCTTTCAGGTCTAAAAGTTGAAATCACACACTGTGGCACCATGAGACGCAAATATAGAGTATGCAATGTCACACGACGTCCTGCTCAAACACAATCGTAAGTCGGTAACAAACATAGATAATTGTTGTGTTTGATTTTTGATGCCTCATTTGTGGATGTCATGTTTGTAAGTATGAGGACGTTGTTTATTATTTGTATCTTTCTGTGGGGTCTGGGGCCCTTTTTTGGGAGTTTTAAAAAAAAGCTGTAACAAGCATGCCATAAAGGCCACTGATTAGGGGTCTGGAGAAATCAGATGTTTTGGGCTGAAAGGTGGAGATATTGCAGCCTAGCTGTAAACCACAACACAGCCCATGAACCACAGTTTTGAAGGGGAACACTGAAGAAAAAGAAAAAGAATGATTATTTTATGTGTCGTCGATATCATCATCACTAAGGGTCTTGACGACTGGCTTATGTGATCATGACTCTTCACCAGCTTGTATCACTCCGCTGACTGCCCTCCATTCCGTGACAAAAGGCTGTCAAGAGAGTTCTTGGTTTGTCTTTCTTTCTGCAAATCTTTCCAGCCCTGATAACATGCTGCAGTTTCTTTCTTCCTATAACTTGTCCGGAAAATGATGACTGCCTCTTTCTGATGTTTGTGATATGTTGTCTTATATATATATATATATATATATATATATATATATATATATATATATATATATATATATATATATATATATATATATATATACATACATACATACATACACACACACACACACACACACACACACACACACACACCCACACACACACATAATACAGAGAAAGAGATAAACTATGTTTCCCTGAAAATTGAAATTGGTTCTTATATTAATTTTTGCCTAACAAAACTGACAGCCTTATTTTTGGGAGATTTTTTTCTTCCAGATATAATAATCATTTATTGGTGTAGAGAATTCTACATTTATTGGTGTAGAGAATTCTACATTTATTGGTGTAGAGAATTCTACATTTATTGGTGTAGAGAATTCTACATTTATTGGTGTAGAGAATTCTACATTTATTGGTGTAGAGAATTCTACATTTATTGGTGTAGAGAATTCTACATTTATTGGTGTAGAGAATTCTACATTTATTGGTGTAGAGAATTCTACATTTATTGGTGTAGAGAATTCTACATTTATTGGTGTAGAGAATTCTACATTTATTGGTGTAGAGAATTCTACATTTATTGGTGTAGAGAATTCTACATTTATTGGTGTAGAGAATTCTACATTTATTGGTGTAGAGAATTCTACATTTATTGGTGTAGAGAATTCTACATTTATTCAAATACAGTTGTGTCTTCTTTTTCTGGACCATCATCAAAACTTCCCAAATGTTGGCCGGAATTTCTTTTATCTCCATTTCCTGTAGAACCATTGGCCTCTCATGTTCAGCATGGGGGCTTTCCTTCAAAGAGCATTTTTGGTCCATGTAGCCAGCTCGTAGTGCGTTGAAAACACAGAATTCTTAACCACATCCGTTCATATAAAAGGTAAAGTCGGGAGATGTGAACCAGCGTCATTGCACACGGTTATAAACCACAAGTGCTCTGCCACCAGTACAGACAGATGATAAGTAACTGTCAGTATCTGTCGCCGTTCGCACGTAACTCTGTAGATCCAGCCACGTTATTCCATTCACCCGAGAGTGTCATCTCTGGTACCCATTTCCTAGAGGCTGGGTGAACCCCGGGACCGCCTGGTTTCGAACACTGACCGCGGCTGCAGCGAGTCACAGCTGGATTTGAAAGCGAGCCTTCTATCGACTGCGCTAACACGGCTCTGTTCATATATCAAGTGTTGTCAGTACTCCAGCTGGCCATTGGGCAACAAATCTCTCATTCTAGCTATGTCTTAACTGGTGCTCTTTTTAGGGGCGGACTTATATTAAAATTATCCTGAAAATTGTCTCCAGGCTTATTTTAGGGGAAACATGGTAGTTTTATGTTCATGTTTTCAGTTTTGGTGTTTGTGTGAATAGGGTTAATGTTATTGTTTTGTGAAACTGGTGGTCATAATTTTTTCATGGATAGATCATTGTTAAAGAATTTCTTCATTGTATTGCTTGTGTTGATTTGTTCTTTGTTGATCTCTTGGTTCACTTACTCTCTGAGTCCCAGAGCTCCATTGTGGGGAAAACAAGAATAGACCCACTGCCTCCCGAACAAGCATGTCGTAAAAGTAGACTGAGAGGCAAGGAACCAACAGTCAGCATACAAAAAAGCCAGATGTGTAAAATAAAATGTACAAGCAGAACTCAGGTTCTGTAACGAGACTTAAGTGAACGGACAACCAGAACTTGTCGCTAGAGTTTACAGCTGAAGTGAACGGACAACCAGAACTTGTCGCTAGAGTTTACAGCTGAAGTGAACGGACAACCAGAACTTGTCGCTAGAGTTTACAGCTGAAGTGAAAGGACAACCAGAACTTGTCGCTAGAGTTTACAGCTGAAGTGAACGGACAACCAGAACTTGTGGCTAGAGTTTACAGCTGAAGTGAACGGACAACCAGAACTTGTGGCTAGAGTTTACAGCTGAAGTGAACGGACAACCAGAACTTGTCGCTAGAGTTTACAGCTGAAGTGAACGGACAACCAGAACTTGTCGCTAGAGTTTACAGCTGAAGTGAACGGACAACCAGAACTTGTCGCTAGAGTTTACAGCTGAAGTGAACGGACAACCAGAACTTGTCGCTAGAGTTTACAGCTTAAGTGAACGGACAACCAGAACTTGTTGCTAGAGTTTACAGCTGAAGTGAACAGACAACCAGAACTTGTGGCTAGAGTTTACAGCTGAAGTGAACGGACAACCAGAACTTGTGGCTAGAGTTTACAGCTGAAGTGAACGGACAACCAGAACTTGTTGCTAGAGTTTACAGCTTAAGTGAACGGACAACCAGAACTTGTTGCTAGAGTTTACAGCTGAAGTGAACAGACAACCAGAACTTGTGGCTAGAGTTTACAGCTGAAGTGAACGGACAACCAGAACTTGTGGCTAGAGTTTACAGCTGAAGTGAACGGACAACCAGAACTTGTCGCTAGAGTTTACAGCTGGATATGAAGAAGAAGAAGAAGATTCATTTACATTCCTTTAGTTTGCTGTATAATTGAACAAAAACATTTAGTTTATTGAGGAGATAACACTGCAGATGCCAGATAGTCTGTACTGTGCTGGGGAACTACAATGACAGATAGTCTGAACTGTGCTGGGGGCTACAATGACAGATAGTCTGGATTGTGCTGGAGGACTGCAATAACAGATAGTCTGGACTGTGCTGGAGTACTACAGTGACAGATAGTCTGGACTGTGCTGGGGGACTGCAATGACAGATAGTCTGTACTGTGCTGGGGAACTACAATGACATATAGTCTGTACTGTGCTGGGGAACTACAATGACAGATAGTCTGGACTGTGCTGGAATACTACAATGACAGATAGTCTATACTGTGTTGGAGTACTACAATGACAGATAGTCTGGACTGTACTGGGGAACTACAATGACAGATAGTCTGGACTGTGCTGGGGGACTGCAATAACAGATAGTCTGGACTGTACTGGGGAACTACAATGACAGATAGTCTGGACTGTGCTGGGGGACTGCAATAACAGATAGTCTGGACTGTGCTGGGGGACTAAAATGACAGATAGTCTGGACTGTGCTGGAGAACTACACTGACAGATAGTCTGGACTGTGCTGGAGAACTACAATGACAGATAGTCTGGACTGTGCTGGAGAACTACAATGACAGATAGTCTGTACTGTGCTGGGGAACTACAATGACAGATAGTCTGGACTGTGCTGGGGAACTACAATGACAGATAGTCTGGACTGTGCTGGAGTACTACAATGACAGATAGTCTGGGCTGTGCTGGGGGACTGCAATAACAGATAGTCTGGACTGTGCTGGAGAACTAAAATGACAGATAGTCTGGACTGTGCTGGAGAACTACACTGACAGATAGTCTGGACTGATCTGTGTACAGGAGAAGCTTGTTTAATGTAGAATTAGCAGCTGGAGAACTACAATGACAGATAGTCTGGACTGTGCTGGAGAACTACAATGACAGATAGTCTGGACTGTGCTGGAGTACTACAATGACAGATAGTCTGTACTGTGCTGGGAAACTACAATGACAGATAGTCTGTACTGTGCTGGGGAACTACAATGACAGATAGTCTGGACTGTGCTGGAGTACTACAATGACAGATAGTCTGGACTGTGCTGGGGAACTACAATAACAGATAGTCTGGACTGTGCTGGAGTACTACAATGACAGATAGTCTGGACTGTGCTGGGGAACTACAATGACAGATAGTCTGGACTGTGCTGGAGTACTACAATGACAGATAGTCTGGACTGTGCTGGAGTTCTACAATGACAGATAGTCTGGACTGTGCTGGGGGACTGCAATAAAAGATAGTCTGGACTGTGCTGGAGTACTACAATGACAGATAGTCTGGACTGTGCTGGGGAACTACAATAACAGATAGTCTGGACTGTGCTGGAGTACTACAATGACAGATAGTCTGGACTGTGCTGGGGAACTACAATGACAGATAGTCTGGACTGTGCTGGGGAACTACAATGACAGATAGTCTGGACTGTGCTGGAGTACTACAATGACAGATAGTCTGGACTGTGCTGGAGTTCTACAATGACAGATAGTCTGGACTGTGCTGGGGGCTACAATGACAGATAGTCTGGACTGTGCTGGGGGACTGCAATAAAAGATAGTCTGGACTGTGCTGGGGGCTACAATAACAGATAGTCTGGACTGTGCTGGGGGCTCCAATGACAGTTATGGACTGTGTTGGGGGACTGCAGTGACCATCTTGTATCTCTCACCAAGCTGCTATAATTGATCTGTGTACAGATTCCCTCTTCAGATGCAATCTGGTCAAACTATAGAATGTACTGTAGCCCGCTACTTCATGGAACGTTATAAAATGAAATTACAGTAAGTGTTATCACCTGTTTTGTGTGTGGTTTTTTTTGGGGGGGAATCATGCACATAAATAATTGTGTTCGTTCGGCAGGGCCAAATGTGTGTGGCCAAAAATGGCACATGCATGATATTGTTATACTCACTGATTAAAACGCATTAACAATGTTTGTACAGATGTAGACTTCGCAAAGATTAACAGCTATATGCATACTGGATCAGAACAAGTTTACATTAACTTTTTAATTGTGTAAGGGTAGTATTTAGGGATGTGTCCACAATTTTCTGCAATGTGTACATTGCCAAAGAAATGAAAGAAGCACAACATATAAAGACAGATTTCACAGACTTTGAACTAGAATTTGATAAACAACTCTCATTGATTTACTTTCTACGGAGAATTAGAGTTCAGTCTATGAAGATTAAGAAAAGTGGAAACACCATAGCAGTTTCCCCTCATTGCTGTGTAAAAACATTTAAATGACCTTATGTACCAGTTCTCCCCCAGCAAAAAGACAAAGGGTATTCATTTTCTTTCTCGGCATTCATGCAAATTTGTAAATGCGCTGAACAAGTTTACAATATGGTTGCGATATTTGCACCTTTTGGCTGACACATTCGACTTCACAGACATTTGTTGTCCGGTTTAGCCATCAGAGGGAGTTGATGTTGATGATTATCCCTAATGTGAACTGTCAGCCCCCCCCCCCCCCCCCCCCCCTCCCCTCACCCCCCAATCTGAAAATCCTTACCTGTGATGAGCAGTCACAGAAAGCAGTATCATCACCACTGTATTTGTAGATATTCTATTGGTCCCTTAGGGCAGTTTATTCAATCAAACTTTTGTATGCTTAGGTTGACACATTGTAGCTCAGTGTTCTTCAACTCTTTACACCCGCTGACCAGGCAAACACGAAGACAGTTTGGGACCGTCTGATAGCTAAGACATACAAACAAGGATGGAATATATATATATTTTTTTTTAAATCCAGTGTTATCCAATCTAGCCAATGCAACATCTGCTGCTTAAGGACTAGAAAATCTGATATATTTGCTGGATCATTGTTTGTGAGAGGTGATATGCTGAAATAACATCTGTTGGATTTCCTTTGTATTTGCTAAATGTTGGGACAAAACATTATCGGGGAACCGCCAGGAACTGAGTGGGGACCAACATTGGTCTTGAGACCACTGGTCACAATTTTGCTGTAGCTGCCAGTAGGAGAAGCTTGTTTAAAGTAGAATTAGCAGCAAAGGTCACAATTTTGCTGTAGCTGCTATTAGGAGAAGCTTGTTTAATGTAGAATTAGCAGCAAAGGTCACACGTTGAAGAACATTGTTGTAGATGACATTAGGTGGAACTTGTTCAGAATAAAAGGAGCAAACAAAAGGCTTTCATAGTCTAGCTGAATGTTGCATTATTTAGTGTGAGCACAGACCTCATGACAGTTAATAGATTGTTGATGTTTACATGTCTTCTTTCTGCAGACATCCACATTTACCATGTTTACAAGTAGGTCAAGAACAGAAGCACACATATCTTCCACTTGAGGTGAGTCAACTTGTGGGCATCTTTATTTAGAATCTCCCAGAATTCCCTGACCATCTCTTTTATATCATCATGTAGTTGTTGATATTTTCTATATCCATTTTGTACATGACCATTTAGTTCATCTAGTATCATCATATAGTTCTGCTAGAATTCTCTCTAGCCATCCGGTATCACCATACAGTTCTGCGAAAATTCTCATACCATCTGGTATCATCATCAAGTTGTGCTAGAACTTTCTGTAACCATCTGATCACAAAGTACTGCTAGAACTTTCTCTAACCAAATAGTATCACCATATAGTTCTCCTAGAATTCTCTCTAACCGTCTGGTATCACCATATAGTTCTTCTAGAATTCTCTATCTAGTGTCCCAGTAAATTTCTGCCAGAATTCTCTCCAACCATCTAGTGTCACAGTAAATTTCTGCCAGAATTCTCTCCAACCATCTAGTGTCCCAGTAAATTTCTGCCAGAATTCTCTCCAACCATCTAGTGTCCCAGTAAATTTCTGCCAGAATTCTCTCCAACCATCTAGTGTCACAGTAAATTTCTGCCAGAATTCTCTTCAACCATCTAGTGTCCCAGTAAATTTCTGCCAGAATTCTCTCCAACCATCTAGTGTCACAGTAAATTTCTGCCAGAATTCTCTCCAACCATCTAGTGTCACAGTACAGCTGCTAGAAGTCTTTCTCTGTTATGGCTGCATAGTTCAATTAGAGCCATCTTGTGTGTTATGAGGGATGTATTATTCCTAACCTTTAAATAGTAATGTCATTCATGTTAGAATTCTTTAGCCATATTGAGTATCATATAGTTCTGTTAGAGTTGTCTTCAGCCATTGTGTCTATGACTTATAATGTTCTGTTAAATCTCTCTAACCATCTTATGCACCACTGTATAGTTCTCTTAGGATTTCTCTAACAGCTATCTTGATTTTCATCATGTGTATAGTTTTTTAAGAATTCTTTCTAATCACCATTGGGTTTTTATTATATTTCTTAGTCACCTTATAATTCTCTTAGCTTTCTCTAGTCACCATATAGTTCTCTCGAATCAAAATATAGTTCTCTTAGAATTCTCTCTATGTAGTGCAGCTAGAATTTCTAATCACCATGTAATTATATTAGAATTCTCTCTAGTGACCATATAGTTCTCTATGAATTCCCTCAAATTAAAATATGTCTATCTTAGATTTCTCTCTAATCATCAGATAGTTCTCTTAGATTTCTCTCTAATCATCAGATAGTCTCTTAGAAATCTCTCTAATCATCAGATAGTCTCTTAGATTTCTCTCTAATCATCAGATAGTCTCTTAGAAATCTCTAATCATCAGATAGTTCTCTTAGATTTCTCTCTAATCATCAGATAGTCTCTTAGAAATCTCTCTAATCATCAGATAGTCTCTTAGATTTCTCTCTAATCACCAAATAGTTCTCTTAGAATTCTCTCTAGCCATCACCATGTAGTTCAACTAGAATTCTCTCTAGCCATCACCATGTAGTTCAACTAGAATTCTCTAGCATTTTCAAGACAACAAAAGTTTAAATTTTAAGAAACAATTATCTGCATAGGTGCCAGAACCTCATTGGGAGGGGGGGGGGGGGAAGAAGAACCAACAGACTTACTGACACGTCACAAACATATTTAGGGGGCAATAATCTACACTTACTGACACGTCACAAACATATTTATGGGGCAATAATCTACAGACTTACTGGCATGTCACAAACATATTTATGGGGCAATAATCTACAGACTTACTGGCATGTCACAAACATATTTAGGGGGCAATAATCAACAGACTTACTGGCACGTCACAAACATATTTAGGGGGCAATAATCTACAGACTTACTGGCATGTCACAAACATATTTAGGGGGCAATAATCTACAGACTTACTGGCATGTCACAAACATTTTTAGGGGGCAATAATCTACAGACTTACTGGCATGTCACAAACATTTTTAGGGGGCAATAATCTACAGACTTACTGGCATGTCACAAACATTTTTAGTGGGCAATAATCTACAGACTTACTGGCACGTCACAAACATTTTTAGGGGGCAATAATCTACAGACTTACTGGCACGTCACAAACATTTTTAGTGGGCAATAATCTACAGACTTACTGGCACGTCACAAACATTTTTAGGGGGCAATAATCTACAGACTTACTGGCATGTCACAAACATTTTTAGTGGGCAATAATCTACAGACTTACTGGCATGTCACAAACATTTTTAGTGGGCAATAATCTACAGACCTACTGGCATGTCACAAACATTTTTAGAGGGCAATAATCTACAGACTTACTGGCATGTCACAAACATATCATAGGAGGTGACTAATTAAGTGTGTGCTGAAATTGAATTGTGGGTGGGAGGACTCAGATTTGGCATTCTAGTTATACGCCACAAGACGACACGCCAACTGCTCATTTGAGGCTGAATGCAAGAAGATAATTCTCTTTCTATCTTGTTAGTCAACAGATCAGACTAACTGCACTCTGGACTTTAGTTAATAATTGCTTGGTTCTCCTACGCAATATATCTCTCAAGCTTGTTTTGATTGATAACATTAGTTCTGTGTTGATTTGCTGTCTATCCTTAGTCCAGTGCATAGTGCTCTTGGTTTGATTCATGTTCTTGCACTTTTGTTGTTGTTTTATTTTTAAGTGTGTGAGGACATGTTATTCATGAATGTGACCTCTGTTTGCCAGGTATGCAATATCGTAGGAGGCCAGCGATGTATCAAGAAACTGACAGACTTGCAGACGTCCACCATGATCAAGGTGTGCCACCATTTCATGTCTTTAGTTAGTTGAGAGCATGATGAGCTTCAGTGACTTGTAACATTCTGGTGATGAGTAAAGTTGCTGGGTTTATCAGTGAATTCAGTTCAGTGATGAGTCAAGCAGACAGAACAGTGAAACATTTAAAACAGTCAGTGTATTCAGTTGACTGATGAGCCCAGTTATGAGTTCATTGGCTGCTTTAAGTGAAGAGTCAGCAGTTAGTTCAGTGTTGGGTTAAAATGAGTTTCATGATAAATGATGAGGCAGGCAGAACAGTCATATGAAAAGTTTAATGATGAATTTCATGCTTGGTCAAATGATGAGTTCAATTCTGGGTTTAGTGATGAGATGAGTGATCACTATAAAATGAGTCAGAGGTTTAGTTGATGAGTAAGCAGAAAGAAGGGGATGGAAACAGTGTGTGAGAAAACTTATTTTCAGATGACAGCAACAGAGACGGACATCTGGCTTGTAATAGAGAGAAGCTTAGGAAGACTCATGGGGCAAAGTTTAGTACAGGGCCAGCTACTGGATAAGTAAGTAGGTGGGCTTTTGTGGGTGCTGTTTACATGTGTGTTTGCTTTCTTCCACGTCTGTGTGTCAGAGTATCTTGTACATTTTGGTGTTTGTCATTGCTTTTTTTTGTTTAATGTATAAAAAGTACTGGTAAAGTCAGGAAGTGTGAACCAGCGTCATTGCACACGGTTATAAACCATAAATGCTCTGCCATCAGCACGGACAGCTGGTAAGAAATTGTCTGCCCATGTCGCTGTTCGCATGTAACTCCAAAGCTACAGCGACGTTTCTCCATTTACACAAGAGTGCTTTGTGAACACCGTGAACCGCCCGGTTTCGAACTCAGGCCGTGGGCTTCAGGAGTCACAGCTTGATTTGAAAGCGAGTCTTCTCTTCTTCGACTGCGCTAACGGGGCCCCTAATATGTGTCTGTTGAATGACAGAGCCTTAAAAAAATAATGATATCCCCACAGTGACAGATTGTTACTTATTTTAAACATGTAAATTTGTTTCTAATTACAGGCCACAGCGAGGTCAGCACCGGACAGAGAAAAGGAAATTAATAACCTGGTATGTTCTGTGACGACTGTTCATTTGTATGATAGAACAATGTTTTTCCCAACTGTTTTTAGCAACAATGAGAGAATAGACCCAGGCTGGTTGTGGTTGTTCCAAAGACGAGGATATTGTTTAGAATTGGAAGGAACAGATAGTGTACCTCTAATGAAAACAGTCTTTGAGGATATATTTTTATTGGGACTGAGAGAAAGGGTTAAGCTTCCACTATGTTATATGACATGTTAGTACAGTGGATTGGGGCCTTATGTATTGCTATGTATTGTGTCATCAAAAAAATAAAAACGACCAAAGGTGGTTCAAATCAAAGTAAGAATATTGGACATCTGATTTCCCATGTAACCTAAATGATAGAGTCACCTGATGTAGATTTTTCCTTTCAGTGTAGATAAATACATTTGAAACAAATTTATTAGTGATAGGTATCCAGTTGTTGTGTCAAAGGATTGTTTTCTGGAAAAATGGGATCATGACTCTGTTTTTTTTTTTTTTTTTTTACAATTTTCTCCAGGCGAGAGGTTTCAAATAACAATAGTGAATAAAAATGAAAAACAGATGAGCTAATGGAATTTCTTAAACAGTCAAGGTGTCTCTTGTCAACCAGATGCAAAACCTGTCATCTCTGTACAACTGCAGGCAGCACTTGTTGGACCAGGCCCAGTTGGAAGAACTTGTTATGCAAACCTCTGACAGACCATGCCTCAAGACCTCAACAACTCACACCAATGGAATCTGAGCACAGTATTCAGACACAACATGCACATTATTGCTACAACATATGCACTGCATTAAAAAAAAACACAGTCATGATGCAGACCATCGCATGTAATGAACAGGGATATGAGACAGTAAAGCTCTATAATTCAAAGTGTATTGTCAGACAGAGTGTAGGAATAACACCATGTAGCACATTCATTGAGAAACAGAAGTTTAAATGGTTTGGTCTTCTAATAAGCATGCAGCTAGAACAACTGCCATCTCAGGTGCTATACATGAAAAGTGAAGACAAAAAGTCACCCTAGGAGAAGATGAATTGATGACGTTAAAGAGCTTCTAAATCAACACGGAATGACATCAGCCATTGCTGCCCATCAAGCAATTGATCGCAGACTGTTCCTCCCCATGATGCTAAATTGCAGAAATGGAAACTGGTGATGATGTACTCAAAGCGTTCTCTAGAGGCTGACTGAAAGAAAGAAACATGACCTTCACATACACGAACACTTCTGTATATAGATGTGTTGTTTGCTGATCACAAGAGATGAAGACCACTCTGCGTCCAAGAGTAGTAATGATCAGTGACTGTGAACATAAAGATGATTCATCAGTCTAGTTTCTTTTTCTTCTTTTGTTGCGTTCGCTGGCCCTAAACTCTGGCAGAAAGTTCTGGGTTTTTGTCCATCCCCGCACTTTAGTCTTGTTGCAGAGCCTAAGTGTTGTGTGCACATCCATTTTACAGATCTGGCTTATTTGTAAGCAGACTGTTGGTTCCTTGCCTCTCAGGCAGATGTACTCCGACTTTAAAGGATGCCCCCAATTTAGTCGACTCCGTCAACATGCTTTTTGGGGAGGCAGTGGGTTTATTCTTGTTTTCTCCACGAAGGAATCCAGAACCCACACGGAGAAGCCCAATTTGAACCTGAAAAGTTCTTAATACCAAAAGGCATTATCTGTATACAGATACTCACCAACTTAAAAACCTACAAGTGTCGGTAATTAAAACAAAGATGAGTGGAGCTATAAATTATCATGCTAAGGATCAGAAAGAATTCTTCATGGCATATGAAGCTTGTAAATCAAAAGTTTCAGTCAGTAAGATGTTTCCGAGGTGGGATGATTGCCCTTTGTCTGCTGTAGCTATTTGTGAACATTGGGTTCCAGTACCCCATTGTGGGGAAAACACGCTGCCCTTCCCCCCCAAAAACATGTTGTAAGAGTTGACTAATTGGGAGCTTCCCTCAAAGTCGGAGTGTATTTGCGCGAATGGCTAGAAACAGCCCACACAAATAAGGAAGTAAAATGGATGTACACGCAAAACTCATGCCCTGGCACGAAGGCATTGTTCCAAATGAATAAACAATCATGACTTTCAGCTGTATCTTACCGCTAGTGAACAAAGAAGAAGAATATGTTGCATTGCTCTAATATTTTCAGGGTTGTTGTCAGAATGTGCAGGCCTAGGTGGTGAAAGCAGATGTTTCTCCACAGCCGGATGTTTTCTGTGTTTTCAGTATTCTCTGATGGGTGCCCATGCAACTCTGTCGACCCATCCAGCATTTTCTCCTTTTGTGTCTTTCTCTGAAACCTGGAAATCTTCGGTTATTTTCTCCAGACCATCTCTTGCCACCTGCTTCAGAGGTCCCGGGTAATTGGTGTCCTTGTGATATATTCTGTAAGTCATGCGAGTGTCTTAGGAAAGGAACAGGCAGATAGACTGGCTGGTTGTGCACCACTTGGTGGTGAACTGATGCATGACCAGCTGGATGTTGTAGGGATCCTTTGGGACTCAGTGAACAGTGTGGAGGTACAGATAGATCATTGCAGCCTGAGGAGAATGGTGCTGCAAGGAGTGAACAGTGTGGAGTGGAGGTACAAATAGATCATTGCAGTCTGAGGAGAATGGTGCTGCAAGGAGTGAACAGTGTGGAGGTACAAATAGATCATTGCAGCCTGAGGAGAATGGTGCTGCAAGGAGTGAACAGTGTGGAGGTACAGATAGATCATTGCAGTCTGAGGAGAATGGTGCTGCAAGGAGTGAACAGTGTGGAGGTACAAATAGATCATTGCAGCCTGAGGAGAATGGTGCTGCAAGGAGTGAACAGTGTGGGGGTACAAATAGATCATTGCAGCCTGAGGAGAATGGTGCTGCAAGGAGTGAACAGTGTGGAGGTACAAATAGATCATTGCAGTCTGAGGAGAATGGTGCTGCAAGGAGTGAACAGTGTGGAGGTACAAATAGATCATTGCAGCCTGAGGAGAATGGTGCTGCAAGGAGTGAACAGTGTGGAGGTACAAATAGATCATTGCAGCCTGAGGAGAATGGTGCTGCAAGGAGTGAGCAGTGTGGAGGTACAAATAGATCATTGCAGCCTGAGGAGAATGGTGCTGCAAGGAGTGAACAGTGTGGAGGTACAGATAGATCATTGCAGTCTGAGGAGAATGGTGCTGCAAGGAGTGAACTGTGTGGAGGTACAAATAGATCATTGCAGTCTGAGGAGAATGGTGCTGCAAGGAGTGAACAGTGTGGAGGTACAGATAGATCATTGCAGTCTGAGGAGAATGGTGCTGCAAGGAGTGAACAGTGTGGAGGTACAGATAGATCATTGCAGCCTGAGGAGAATGGTGCAGCAAGGAGTGAACAGTGTGGAGGTACAATTAGATCATTGCAGTCTGAGGAGAATGGTGCTGCAAGGAGTGAACAGTGTGGAGGTACAGATAGATCATTGCAGCCTGAGGAGAATGGTGCTGCAAGGAGTGAACAGTGTGGAGGTACAAATAGATCATTGCAGTCTGAGGAGAATGGTGCTGCAAGGAGTGAACAGTGTGGAGGTACAAATAGATCATTGCAGCCTGAGGAGAATGGTGCAGCAAGGAGTGAACAGTGTGGAGGTACAAATAGATCATTGCAGTCTGAGGAGAATGGTGCTGCAAGGAGTGAACAGAGGATCTAGCCGATGCTCAAGGGATAGGCGAGGTGGATATACAATCAGACTGTTACTGGTACCATCAGAATGTGAACTCGGGGCTTGCAGCTGAAGATGGGGATGGAGCAGTTATAGAAGTGTCCTGTGATGTTTTTTCTTAGTTGAACATTCTCTTGCCACCAAAAGTAAAAGCTGTTTTGTCGTTATGTGGATTTGCCTCTGTAGTGCTTAAACATTTCAGCTATCCCTTAGATTTTTATCATTCATTGGGGCAAGCACATCTCCGTGGTCCCTAATTTCATTGTGTTCTTGGTAATTTGTAACATCTGAAATGAGATCTGAAGCTGTTCTGGTTATACGGATTTAGACATTGGACAAACGTTTACAGCTAAATCTAAAACCAAGTGAGATCTGAATGTTCTCAAATTATATGGAGTTAGACCTTGGACAAGTACGTTCCAACTGAGACTACGACCAAGTGAGGTCTGAATGTTCTCAAATTATATGGAGTTAGACCTTGGACAAGTACGTTCCAACTGAGACTACGACCAAGTGAGGTCTGAATGTTTTCTTATTATATATATATATGGAGTTAGACTTTGGACAAGTACTTTACAATTGAGGCTACAACCAAATGAGAATCTTTTTGTTTAGTTACTGTTATCTTCTACCTTTATTAGCCATCTCCAGGCAATAAACCATCGTATCTGCAGTGAAAATGTCACATGATGTGTGAATGTCAAGTGAGTGAAGCAATACAAAAGTGAATGAATAGTTAAAAAAAGTAATTAAAAAATCAGCTGTTAATGGAAAAAAAAAGTAAACAAAGAAATAAGGTGTGTGAAATGGTGTAAAAGACAGAAAGAATGAGTAGCTAAGAGATTCTGATGCCCATTGTACTGCTGTTTTTTGTCAGCATGTATGGCTTCGGCATTGTGAACACACTTCTTAATTCCAACGTGCCGTGTTCAATCACAGATGAAGACGATTTGGCAGCAGACCAACTTTCATTAGCTTTGACTGTGGTATCAAGGGATTGTCTAATTCCTGTTCTAAAGAACAGGACCAAACCAAACTATCATGAACATTTTGATCTCATCTGACAAAGTCTCAAAACCTAGGACTTTTTCTTTGTTTTTTGTGTGTGAGGGGAATGGTGTGAAATATAACACAGCATCCGTCATGTGAAGGTGGATAGAAGAGACTGAAGATGTTTTGTGTGTGATCAAGAGGGGAATGGTGTGAAATATAACACAGCATCCATCATGTGAAGGTGGATAGAAGAGACTGAAGATGTTTTGTGTGTGATCAAGAGGGGAATTGTGTGAAATATAACACAGCATCCGTCAT